GTTCTTGATACCAGCATATAAATTTTTGAAATAAATATTAAAATATTTAGTTCTTGCACTTGTGGACGTGTTTTGCTGTTACAATACGTGATCAGTACGGAAGCAGCCTACTTCGCGGGATCTATCGGCGCTACAAAATTATTTTTTTATCCGATACACCTACCGAATGTACGATAGTTTTCCCAGATTTCAGGGACAAAAGCGCAACATATAAATCCAACAGCTGCCAAATATACTGCTGGATCAATTTGATTAAAAAGTATTGATTAATGATTTATAATGCCCTATTATTGTTAAATAGTGTGAGCGTGACGCTATACAGAGTGTATTATTGTACAGAAAACAAGGGAAACCATCCAAAGTCAAGCAATTTCGACGTTTTAAGGAGTTTGTCGTTAAATTGAGCGACGTTATAAAGAGTTTACAATGTTCATGTATCTCAAGTAGTAGTTTTTGAAGTCACTATCAACTTTTAGCTATTTTATTTCAACGAAGCACCCTGCGCTTCAAATGCAATGATATTGACACTAATGTATTCAAGGGTAGTAAAAGAAAGACAGAGACTACAAAAAACGTTCACAATAAACTAAAAAGATATTTAAAGCATTAAAAACAATTCAGGAAGAGCGTCATGAAGCTGATGTCATTGTCTCTATTGGGATATACAACGTTAATTTTAAATTCTTTACATTTCACAGCTGTGCGACTACACTCAGAGAAATATTTTATGAAATATTTCTACAACTTGTAGAGTCGTTTTGTAGAAAATACTACTCTAATCCAGGGGCGGCCTTAATTCACTGCGAGGGTTCGGGCCGATAGATCTTTTCGAAGTTCTTGAATTTGTGGAATTGGTTTTAATGATGATACTTGGCGAGAAATACAAATTTATTAATAAATAAATTTAGAGTTTTAAAAATGTTTATTGGAAATTAACAAAAATTAATAAAACACAAAGATAACAAATTATTAATCATGATAAATTAAGGAGCAATAATGTGTTAAAAGAATCAGGGATTAAGAAATGATTGCGGCTTTTTTTAAGGCTCATAAATTCAAATAAACATTAGTACTATTAGTATGTAATATTTTTCTACTTGGATTGTTGCGAGAGCGAGCGAGGCACCCGCAAGGACGAAGCCCTGGGCGGTTGCCCAGCTCGCCATCCCCAAAGACCACCCTGTTCTAATTTGAAGGAGAAATATCTACAAGTATTCAGACAAATTTCATACAATATAAATAAGATACAAAAAATACTTCAGTAGTGGCAAATACCCACCA